TTTTCCCCCAAGAAGTTTGTTACTTTTAAAATATTACTTTACCCAAAGAATTGATGCTTAGAATTTATATCAAATAGAAGTCTTTAATCACACAATCTTTTTTACTTGTAGTGAGCTTTCTAGTAAGGCAGGGCATGGCATCTGGGCTCATTATTTCATACTGTAGGCTATATTCCTATCCTGTAGTAAAGAAAGGATTACAATGCCTGGCATAATGTGGCTGACTCAAAGTCAGTCCTTTCCTTAAAGCAGTATTTAGAGAAAATTTATAAAGAGAGAGGATTAAACTTTCTGTTCTCATGTCATTTTACTGTGTTACTAATGAAATATTAGAAAGAATTATACATCAAATACATTTTAGAGAACACTGGATTAGGATTTCCATGACTTATTTGCATTCTGACTTTCAATATAGGTTTCACAAATATTTTTAATGATTAAATGATACTGCTGTACATTCATTAAAATGCATGCTTAAAATTAACTTTAGTTTCTAATTAACATCTATTATCAAGAAGCTACAAAGTCAGCAATGATTTTGGAATTAAAGATGTTGAAAACAAATTTTTAAGAGTAAAATTCAAAATTTTTGGTAATCAGGAAAGGGATCTTTTTTAAAAAAAGAAAGAATTGATAGGCCTTTTGTCCTTCAGTACTGTTATTATAATTCTATGTTTGTGTTTAGGCAGTATTGTTAAGATCATAAAAGCCTTGAGGGCAAGAACATGTCATATGCTGATCATACAGTAGAAGAAAATACGTACTATATTCTCCATCAATATTTTTATTAATAATTTAAACCTTAATTTACTTTATATAACATCATTTTCTGCAGTAGATGCATTTTTAAAAATGTTTTAGAGAAAAATACGTGATTAAATATTGTACTATATCTTAACAAGTTGTACCTTCTGATTAACAATGGAAAAAATTCTGAAGAGCCCCCCCACAATGATAAAATCGTGGGAAATATACCTTTTACAATTATACATTTAAATAATAAAATTTAAATTTACAATTTCAACTTAAGTATATAACATTAGCAATAGTCTATGTCTCCTCCCACCCTTGTTTTTGTTCATTCTACATAGGGTTAAGGTTAGGTTATCCTTAATTTGATGATTATTCATTATCATGTAGGAAGCAGATGTGGACTGTAGGATACAGCTGACCAGAGTGCATGAACAAAGACACAGGGCAAGGACGCACAGAATATGTTTTGATAATGGTGATAAAAAGTGTTAATTTTTGGAAATCAAGTATTTACTAGAAGGGTAGGTAGTATAGTGTAAAAAGACTATGATTCAAATACGTAGCTGTGAGATTGAATCTCAACTGACCTTGGGGAAAATGTTTAACCTTTTGAGCTTCAACTTCTTCATCACTAAGAGAATGATTTTTACCTATATAACAGGTTTTTTTTGAGAGTTTGATATAAAATGCACGGCTTAGTATATGGCATTTTCCAACATATACTAAGCCCTGACACTGTTAAGAATGCAGAGGTATGAGAAAGGTCTTATAAATGGTTTTATTGATGGGGGGAAAAAACATTAAAAAAATAGAGGATAAAATGACCATATATAACATACTGAAATGTGAAGCACAAATGTAGGTAGAGTAAAAAAATTACAACTGTTTTCACTCTCAGACAGTATAACGAAACATCACAAAGAATTTACTACTGGTACTTAAATACATTGTCCATGTGGGCCTTTCTACAGAAGCGCTGTTTTCTAAACAAGTTCTCTATAATAGCTCACTCATACTTAAGCATTCCTTATTGTTTTTTTGTTTTTATCCTTCTGAACTAAAATAGTAAAAACCTACTATGTTTGTTTGTAGAATCTTACTTTGTAAGTCAGCTTACATATTTTATTGCTCAAACTCATGCAAATAAATGACTTGTTACAAATATTCATCCTTGCTATATTACACTTTCACACTCTTATTTGCCTTTTTTCACTAAAAAAAAAAAAAAAGTGTATTTAATGAGAGATACCTGTAGGTTAGCGTCATGAGAATCACAGAGGAAATATTATTAAATAATTAAGTAAACAGGCCTTTTGACCTGAAGATTGAAATATTTTATTTTCTAAATAATTAACTTTCTAATTGTTGGTTCTCTGAAATATTGGGAGAAGAGTTGCCCTGAAACCTAACTGTATCAGATAAACTCAGTGATTATTTCTTTAATCACTGCTTATAAACATTGTTCAGTAATTTTTAGCCCATATGTTTAATTCCAGTGTGTTTCAAAACATCTGTTAGATAAAGGTTAACATGATTTTATGTACTGAAAAAAGTAGGCCTGCAGGTTTATACTGTTTAGATAATATTTTTCATTTAGTTCTCCTATAACAGAAGCCACGTCTTCTAGCTCTCAACAGCGTTCCTTGCACAAAGACTGACCTAATAAATACTGATTTTTAAATTATAGATCTGTTGATTGTTGTATTAATCTGTTCTTGGGTATTAAATAAAATTAAGGACTTCTACCAAAAAATTAATATTTAATATGCATAAAGGTGATACTAATGATCCTCTAGAAATGCAACTAGAAGATAAATCATCAGAGGACTCTATCCTCTTCCCTTGGATCTTTATATCACTCATTTCTTATCGTTCGGTCTCAGGTTAGTTGTTACTTGCTCAGGGAGGCCATTTTTCTAACCACTGATATCTCTCAACCCTTAAACTCCTGCTCCCTCTTCCAGGCCCAGGTTGCATATCCTTCCCCACTTTAAAGCCTTCCCTGATTCTCCTGCTCCCTCCTCCCCCTGTAGAATGAATTCTTCCTTCCTCTACACTTGAATTCATTAATTCACTCAGTTAATCATTCAGTAACTCACTCAAGAAACAATAGGACCACCTATGTTGGTCCTAAATCTCTGCCATCTTTTTATCTTTCTATCATTATCAGATTATTTATGTACTTGTTTATTGTCTGTCTTCATTAAAATTTAAGCTCCTAAGAGTGGAAACCTTATCTGTTTTTCTGGTTGCTGAAACCTGCGTGCTTAGAATAGTGTCTAGCACATATGTAGGTGCTTAATAAGTATTTATGAAGGAATAAATGGAATGAACATATTGAGGTGCTAAGTGAAGAATTTTATTGGTAGAAACCATGTATACTCGTAGATGATGTTTACCGAGGTCTATGTTTTTTCCTTTTTATCCCCTGCTATTGGCTACTTTATCTGGGAGATAATCTATTGAACCATTGGAAATAGTAGACTTCAAACATGGAAAATTCTAATCTATACCTCTGTAGGAGTTGCTGTTTAGAATCTCAGGGATCAGTAGAGAAGACCAGAGTTCTCTTAAGAATGAGATTGCAGTTACCCGGCTGACCTTGGGATCAGGGTTTTGATCTTGTGCCCAATGCCTCTCCTACCCTCAGTTACAGTATACTGCAGGTTTCTGGGCTTAGGCAATAGCTTTGGAACTGCTTTTCTCAGTCCCACCCATTGGGTCAGGTCTTGGCTACAGGCCAGTCTCAAAAAGACCTAAGACTTTACAAAAACTATTAAAAATGTTATTTCTAGCCCCTAAATAAGACCTTTGGTGGGGGATTGTAACCAGAAGTCTAAGAATAACATTCTAGAGGACCTTTCAGCTAAAAGTGCTAACTGATAATCAGTTGAAAGTATTAGACGAAGAAGAAGGATGCTGGAAGAAACAGATAATAAAACTCAGAAAAATGAAGCAGCAGAACAGGGGTTGGCAAACTGCGGCTCGCGAGCCACATGCGGCTATTTGGGCACGTACATGTGGCTCTAAAGTAAAATTGAAAATAAAAATAAAACTATCAGTTTCATTTATAAAATTTTTATAGGCTATTCACATAATGGTGATTTCATTTGCTTTATGGCTCTCGAATAATTTTTAAATTGTTGTGAGGGACAGGATTGGCTCTTCCATCTCAAAAGTTTGCCGACCCCTGCAGCAGAAGATATTTTAAGAAATGAGAGAAGAAAAACAGAAAGTAAGGTGAACATTATATTTTGTTAGCCAGAAATGACTGATGAGCATAGAATTAGTGTTAGTGATATACCTCTGTTATGATGGGGGAAAGCCACATATTCTAGAAAAAAAATTAAGCCTGATAAGCAGCCTGAGTCATCATCACTTCTAGTATTTAATTGTAAGTTCCAGAATTCTCCATAAAATCGACATGGAAATCTTTTTATTTGTTACTGTAGGAACAATTCTTTCTTTCCTCAAAAACCAGCACATTCAAGATAATAAAAATAGATACTTTGAGTATGCTTAACCATGTTTTATGATCCTTAAAAGACACCTCCATAGTTTGAATAGGATATATTATAAAAGTTAGTCGACAGATCTGTTGCTGGAACATATCCTGAAGAAACAACTTAAATGATAGTTTCCCAGAACATCCCATAAAAGCCTGTCTAACTAGGTGTGATTAAAATGTCAATAATACAAAGCCACGTTAAATATAAACAGTCCTTTTTAAATTCATAATAATTACTAGGCACTGAACAAAGTGATTTACATATATACTCTTACTTGATGCTCAAAGCACTGTAAGATATGTATTGTCTCTTTTACAATAGAGTATACCTAAGAAAAAAATATTCAAAAGCTTGCTCAGGTCACACAGCACAGCAGTCAGAATATGAATTCAAATTAAACTGACTCAAAGCTCTTACTCTTTACCACTATACTAATCTACCTTTATAAGTAAGAAATATTTATATAACCTTATATATCAGGCAGTATACTAGGTTTTCTATAAAACACATACATTTTAGCAGAACTAAAGAAACGTTTTAAATGAAGATAGGGTCATAATAAGTACCACAAAGTACCATAAATTACCATAGGGGCAAAAAAAGTAGCATTCATATGCAGTGGTTTACAATTAGTTGTATGTTTGGGATTGTTTGGATTTGAGTTTTCTTTTTAATTGTTGATAGAGGTTCCTAAAATGTATTGAGGTATATTTAATTTTTTTTTATAATCGATAACAGTTCACAGAAGAAAAGCTTGGCCAAGCAGAGAAGACAGAATTGGATGCTCACTTAGAGAACCTCCTTAGCAAAGCTGAATGTACCAAAACATGGACAGAAAAAATACTGAAACAAACTGAAGTATTACTGCAGCCAAATCCAAGTAAGAAACTTTTTGTCTTTTGTCTGTCTTATTGACTAATCTTATTCTAAGGTACTGTTAGTAGGTGTTTTAATGTAAAAAAAAAAGTTTTCATGGCTATTAGAAAACAGAACTTCTTGGTTTGTGGCTTTGAGGTTTGATGGTTATTTTTTGTTTGCTTTTGGTGAAGAAGTGGGTGATAAACACTTCATTGTGTACCCTCTAACAAATTGGCAAATAATGTTTTTCAAGGCCTTTATAGAATCCTCTTGAAAACTGAATTTCAGACAGTGACTTTGAATTTTAAGTTATGAAGGGCTATGAAAATAAATTAATGTTTTTCACACAGGAGAGAATTATCCGTAAATAATTAAGGGAAAATTATATAAAAAGTTAGTTACCAGTTATTTATGTTTATGTTAAGGTTTACATTTTTACATAAATTATTCCATTTGATTTTTACACAACTCTAGAAAGTTTTTCAGATCACTCAACCCAACCTTGCAAATAAGGCGCACAATAATTGTTTATTAAGTGAAACTCACAAGTTAGTGTTTTGTCCAGTGTAGCAAAGCTAATTAGAAGTGGAACTTGAACTAGAACCAGGTATATTGACACCCATTCTTTTCACTATGAGCTTTTATATTTCAGAACTGAAGGACAAAGACAACAACGCATGCTTTCCTTCCTCTTTTCCCCAGTGTTATATTACCATGTGAATGCCATAAACTTTAGATACTAACTAAAAATTCCAAGCTTTAAATTTGGTTGCTATTACATAAACCTCAAGCACTATAAAAGAATATTAGTAATTCTGTGCCATTTTAAATTGTAGTGATCTTTTAAAATAGGCCTTTTACACTTTGAGGCCTGTTGTCTGGATACCATGTAGTGCCTCTTACTCACTTAAGCTACTTAAATATCCAGTGTAGCATAGTTAATTAGAAATATGTAGGCACCTTAAAAAAAGTATTAGACATTTTTCCTCTTGTTCTCTGCTCTACTCAGGGTTCCTCACACTCGTACGGAGCCCGTACTACAACACGTTTTTCTGAATGGCAAATTAGCTCATACATGACTGGTAAACAGGAAATGGTGTCAGTATAAAGAAGTTACAGTGGCTTGTATAATACAATTTTACATTAGCGTTTTAAGTATGAAGTAGTAACAGAATTATTTTTGTTTTTTGTTTGTGCTCTGGTAATAAATTTACGTACATTTTAAGTGGTCAAACCAAACCTTCTTTTCCTGTAAAAGCCTACTATTTTTAGTGTATGATTTTTCAGAACCTAGAATTTTTCAGAAATATATATATTGAGTTATAGCAGAATTGTTTACATATTTTTAAACGTTTTATTATGACATACTGAAATGAAACATTTATTTAAAATATAAGAAATGTTTTATTAACTGAATGAAATCAACATGGGGTTCAACTTTAAACTTTTTACCAGATAGTGAGAAAGCAGCAAAGCTAATCACTTGCACTGTCAGAAAATGAAATTCTGAAATTTAGGTAGCATCTTCTAAGTGATTGTTTTGAACAAACTCATTTTGGTTTTAACTAATGGTTTTAAATTCCTGCTTAAAAATCCCTATGTGCACCAGAGACTACCACAAAAGCCAGTATTATTCCAACAGCCTATTTCATGTATTATAATGAACATTTTTGCCAATTCCGGAAGTGTTACTGGTTCATCTCATTTTTTAAATTTTCAGTGCACTGTGTGCAACTTTCACTTGTGGCGGAATTATGTGAGGTGCTCAGAAGGAATCTATTTAACTTAGCTTCTTTGGGGATTGTAATTTTAATTTCTATTTAATTATTGTTTCTGTAAACTTGGACTTTTTCTCATTTGTCTCTGATATACCTCATTGTTAGGCAGTATTGTAAATGTAAATTCTTACATATTATACTAACAAAGGACTTATTCAGATTTTACTGATTTTTTTCCTTTTCATTTATGTTCTCTAATTGCCTTTAACCTTTTGTCTTGTATTTTAAACTTATTTTAATGACGAAATATTTTGAGTAAACACATGCTCAGAGACATCTGTATACTTTAATCATATTAAATAAAATTAAGCCAAGGCGTCATATTGCTACTCTCTGTCTATAGACTATTCGAAGCCTGGATTGCTCTATTCTTTATAAAGCCCTGTGCCTTTATTATAGACTCTAGGAGAAGAGAGCTTGCAAGCAAGCAAAAGCGCGAAAAAGGTGTCAGAAGTATGTCACTCTTTGGTTCTGGATACCTTATATCCATATTTTCATAGCTGTAAATTCCTGATTTTGAAAATATGAACCTGTATTGAAAGTTAAAAGTTAGACATTATATGAGTGGGGCAAAAGCATCTTCACTATTAATACCAACCTTTTTCTGGAACATAGAATTCCATAAAATACTCATGTAATAGTTCTACTTTATTTTAAAATATTTTTGTTCCAAAATATTTTATCATATTTCTAAAATATGTTTCTTAGAGCTGTATAATACTCTAACATGTAAATAAGAAATTTATATATTAATATATGTACTTGAAAGCATGCTAATTTCATGTTTATTTTACAGGGCAATAAACAGCTAGTAGTAGAACAAAACAGTCTCTTAAATAGTTTTGCTTTTTTTGAAATCATTGGTAATTTTAAAACTTTCTCCTAGATGCCAGGATAGAGGAATTTGTTTATGAGAAGCTGGATAGAAAAGCTCCAAGTCGCATAAATAACCCAGAACTTTTGGGGCAATATATGATCGATGCAGGGACTGAGTTTGGCCCAGGAACAGCTTATGGTAAGCGAAAGGCAAAAAGACCTGTTTAGAAATGTCTTCACTTTTAGATTTTTACTATGTAGAGACAACATTTAGTAGAATCAATTTTAAGTTCAAACTTTTTATGTTAAAATCTTGGATGAAGTGAGAATTATAACTAACCAAAATATGTACAGTTCAATTTAATATTTAATATATGTAAGTACGTATTGTTCTGAGAATTTACATGATCTTGTAGGTAAAAGGTTAAATGCATTCTTCACCTGTACTCCCATTGACTCTTGTAAACGCCTCTGTTGTACTTCGTAATGACATATTGCAGTTTTTGTTTATATATGCCTCCTCTAGTAGATACCTAGTATGTTTTATTCATATATATATATATATATATATATATGTAGGGTTGTCGGAAAAGTCATGATGTATTTTTTCTGTTTTTTGTTGCAAAAATGCATTATGACTTTCCGACAACCCAATATTAAGCTTTCTTAAGGCTTACTTATTTCTGTAGGAAAGTACCTGGTACATATTAAGTGTTTGAACAAATCACTAGTGCTCTCATTACACAATAATGTCAGTACCACAAAAATGTTCACAAGGTTATCTCTGGAGGTTTGGATTACATTTCATTTCTATTCATATAGTGTAATTTTTTTATAATCATATCTTACAGTTATGCCAGCTTTGTTAGTTGCTATATTGACTTTTTTAATGTATAACTGAAGCTCATTATACATCATTATCCTTCAAATCTAATTTTCTCAGAACATAGACTATTTCAGATTTCTGTAGCTTCTTTTCCTATTTATGTCTAATAATTTTCTTAAGACTTCTGCAAGAAATTGGTCCTTATTTGGGTATGAAATGGTAGGTAAATTAAATGATTTTCTATAAATAGTCCTGATTTATGAAAAGCTCATAAATTCTGAGACTAAATGAATTTAAACTTTAGTAGTCCCCTTTATGTCAGAAGGAAATAACCTAAATACTGTGTAATGAATGCCATTAATCCATTGACTGGCTTTTAGATATACAACTTTGAAACTTTTACATTGTGTTCTTCAAAATATAATTTTTTTCAGAAGTTGGAAAATGCTTAAAATTTCTATAGTTTTATTTCTAAATTTTAACTATTAATTTTAGAAAAACTTGATACATTAAACAGGGTTTTTGGAGGGTTTTTTTGGTATTTTGCCTGCTTGTGCCAGACACAATTAGATGCTGGAGTCATAAGGTACATGAAGGAGACCCAGCCTTGGCTTCACCAGACTGAAGGCCTAGTGGAGCATGAACATTTGAAAGACTTATGAATTTTTTCCTTTTTTAATCCGCTTAATCTGTTTGCATCTCTAATATGTCCATTCAATTGGAATTGGGCTTTGTGAATCTATTTATTAGTAATTGATAATAGCTGACAAGTATTCCAGGCATTGGGCTAAGCACTATACAATATAAGTATTATTTCAGTAAATCCTTACTTACAATGTAAATTTTGTTATCTCCATTTTAAAGATAAAAAAGCTGAGTCTTAAGAAAGATTACATAATTCATCCATGATCACACAGCTAGTAATTCAAATGTAGATCTGTATCTAGAAATTGAGCTCTTAACTACTATGTTATATTATTACCTTTCTTACCAGTCACATCTAATCTCATCCTAACAAGAAGGCATTAAAATCCACAGAACTAAAGCTTAGTAGTTCCTTTTCTTTGTGGTTTTTTTCTTTAACTCTATATTCCACAGTACTTGTCCTGGATTTCTTTTTAACTTAAAATCACAAATATATACTGTTATTTATAGAAACTTGAGATAAGTGCATAAAGTAGAAACAGAAGACAAATTTACTTGATCTACTTAATAAAATATTTAAGCATTATAATTTTATAACCACATCTACACTATTTGAGCTGTGACCATAAATACTTTTTAGTATTTTGTATCCTCTCTTGTCCCTTAGGTAGAATTAGTACAATTAACTTTAAGGAGTTCATCTTTGTCATTTTTATTTAGATATTCATAATCTTAAATTTGTTTTTAAAATAAAACTACCTTAACTACTGTTAATTCTATTTAATTTTTACTTACGTAAACAAGTGACAACTAACTTGAAAGTAGATCAACTTGCTGATTTATCTTAACATGATTCTGTTTTCTGACATTACCAGACAATGGTAAAAAGAAACTTTTTTCCTTTGCAGGTAATGCTCTTATTAAATGTGGAGAAACACAAAAACGAATTGGAACTGCAGACAGAGAGCTAATTCAAACATCAGCCTTAAATTTTCTAACTCCTTTAAGAAACTTTATAGAAGGAGACTACAAAACAATTGCTGTGAGTTGGAAAGCGTTTCTTTTTTTTAAAGTAAAATATTTAGATGTAACAGTTTGTTTTTTAGTTTGGGGTTTTTTAAAAAGATTTTCTTGGGGAATTGGGGGAGGGGAACAGTGCTGGGGAATCGGGGGAAGGGGAACAGAGAAGTTGCTGTTGTTTTGTTCTTCAGTCTAGTTGCTTCACTGGCCCATGTTGGTATTATGATTGTGCTCTTCCCGGCTGAGGCAGATCGGTGGCCGGCCTCTAGACGGCCGCTCACAGTGGCTCACAGCAGCTCACTCTGGCTGCCGGCCACACTCAGTAGCTTATGGCAGCCCACTGCAGCAGGCGCTGCAGCCTACGCTGTTGCCGGCAACTCACGGCAGCCCAGCTCCAGGTCGAGCTGCTGCTCACCATCTTAGCTGTAGAGGGCAGTGTCACTGGCCCTCATGTGGGATCCAAACCGGAGCCCTGCAGCTCAGAGCTGGCGTCCCAAGCCAGCTCTTAACCAACGCGCCACTTGGCCGGCCCTAGATAAAATAGTTTTTAATTTGCTCTCTTCATGACTGTAGATGTAACAGATTAGAAAATTTTTAAATATTGAGCTAAGTACATATTCAGCAGAACACAAAGCTAACCAAAATAAAGGACTATTGATGATACAGGCTCCCTTTTTGTGACCCTGTAATGTTATTGAGATACTCTTACATCTATATTTGTTCATTACCAGCACTAAAATCTATAGAGAGTTTCCTGAAATGATTATAAAAATATGGCACAAAACATCACCATAGTATAGTCATGTAACTTATTTAAACTGGGAGCCAGAAACTTAATTATTAGAAGCTATATTTCTGGCTATTAGACTTCTTGTCTTTTTGCATCCCTTAAAAGTCCATTATCTTCTTTTCACACAACTATGTTTTATTGCTGAAGAATAAGAAATATTCTTGTATAAATATTTTCACTTTCCCAAACCTCATCTATTAGTCTGTTATTTTTTAGTTTAATTTCTTTTTTAAGTGATGAACAGTGGCGATGTAGGTGGCTTTTTTTTTCACAATTATTGCAAGATTGCTCTTTATTTTTAAATACTGCTTCAAACTCATAATTTGCAGATTTCTTATTGTAAAATATGATAGAAAATGTGTTTACAGTGAATTTGTCTCTGGGTAAAAAGTATTTGGCCTGAGACAAAGTTGAAATGTAATTTAAAAGGTATTAGATTTTCAATAGGATGAAATTTTGATATAAGAAATCTGTCTAAGGATTAATAAAGCAAACAGTGAATTCTTATGATCTTAGAAGCTTGAAGTTCCCATGAGGAATTCTAAGATAACATACTAATGTTTATTCGTTATTTGTTCTATAAATTTGAAATTCCATTTTGGAGTAGTATAGTTGCTTTCATTGCTCTGGCACATAACATCACATAGGGTATGAAGGAGCTTTACCTTAGGCACTTTCTAGATAAACTGTAATAGTTAGAAAAAGTTTCTAAAACTGGGGTGCAATGACATTTGGGGCCGAGTAATTCTGTGTGGGAGCTATACTGCGTTGTAGAATGTTTAGCAGCATCCCTGGCTTCTACCCAGTGGATGCTAATATCATCCCTTCCCAGTTCTGACAATCAAGAATATATTGCCATATGTTTCCTGCAGTGCAAAATCACAACTTTGAAACTAGTATTCCTTTGTTTGTACCATAACCTGCCATCTTTCCTAGATATCCAGAATGTCTCAAAATCATTTTAAAATTGAAAACAGTAAGAAAAGGGAATCAGGTATCTGAATGGTCACTTCATAGCCAATTTTGTAATTATAGAGCTTTGTTTATCAGATGATTCGTGTATTTAATGGAAAATAATACTTTAATGTGTATGCCCTTACTGGATTTTAACATCATCAGCTTTTATAATTTTCTTTTCTTAAACTTACAGAAAGAAAGGAAACTACTACAAAATAAGAGACTGGATTTGGATGCTGCAAAAACCAGACTAAAAAAGGCAAAAGCTGCAGAAACTAGAGCTTCAGTAAGTAGTGTTTTTTAATAGAAAAACATTTTTGGTTAATCACTTTTAGACTTGTAAAATATTTAACTCATATATGATGCACACCACAGCCTGTCGTTAAGACTAGAATATGACTTTAGAGTATTATTTTTGTATTTTTAAACAAACATCAGAACTGAATACATCCAGATCAGTGCAAAATAGTCATATTAAGAGGCAATATTCTTATTTTGCTAATAGCTATACCTATTGCTAAAAAACAATATTACAATATAAAAGCTCCTCAAACTGTGTCATCTTTAAATATCCTCAATGGTGATGGCAAATACATTAGATTTATTATATTTGAAATATAAAAACAAATAGTTAAGATGAGAATGAACAAGTTTGAGAATGCTGTTTGTGGCTTAAACAGCATTTAAGCCATGTGTGACTGACTCCCTTTCGACATATGACTTAAAGTGACTAAAGGAGTTGTCACCAAGCATAGTACCAAAACACTCAAACAGTGGCAGCATGGACTGACAAGTGGATAAGTAAAGTGTAGTATATTTTTCATAAAATCAACCTCAAAATAACCTTTAAAACTAAGTGGGTATATATTAAATATAGTTATTCAGTGATTTTATATATATATATATATATATATATATATATACACACACACACACATATATAAAATTTTCTTAAAAGGTTTAATTTATAAGCTTCTTAATCTAATATTTATACTGTTTATATCTCCATTCTGAAGTTTGAAGAGATTAATCAGATATAAGCAAGTCTGATTTTATTAGAGAAAGCTAATAAGCTAATTCTTAATTTGAGCTAAGAGATGCGTTTTGTTCAGAGGCATGACATACCCACTGCCTTGACTGTTCCCAACTCACTGCCTCTACCATCATCAAGAATCATTGCCTTAAAGGAGCATATTAGCACAATGCTGGTAGAAGTCTAGTGTGGCTCTCTTGTTTTGGGAAAGAAAAGGTTGAGACTTGGTTTTGAATAAAATTCAAAACTGGTAACTTGGTGTTGGACAGTGATGTCTTACGAGATTACCCCAATACCTTATATGAGCAAAATAAATTACTTCCTTCCAGATGGTTCCCCTTTTGGAGATTCTGTATTAGCTTCTACAGAAGAAGAGCTATCTTTGGCAAGACATTAATTACAAATGCACTATTTCACCTCAAAATATATCATGACATCATTATCAAGAACAGCCTAATAACTTCCTTAACCAGGCTTTTTGCAGAATAAGAACTTTACAATTGAACACTGTAGGTGGCAAGAGATTTAGGATATTCGTTTCTAGTTGCTAATAATAAATTTATATAGTAAAATATAAATAGGTTTTTAACATACTAATTTTATAATTAGGAAAAATGTTAAGATAAATTAGGATCATTTGGAAATAAATGTTTGAACTACGACAGAATCTCTATTCAAAATGCCTACCTGTGTCCAATGATGATTATGGATTAAGAATACTGTTGTCAATGATACTATATATAGAGAATCCCAAAGACTCCACCAAAAAACTGTTAGAACTGATAAATGAATTTAGTAAGGTAGCAGGATACAAAATTAATATTCAGAAATTAGTTGCATTGTATACACCAATAATAATTACCGGAGGAAGAAATCAGGAAATCAATCCCGTTTAAATTGCTTCAAAAACAATAAAATATCTAGGAATAAATTCAGCCAAAGAAGTAAAAGACCTGTACTCAGAAAATTACAAGACACTGAAGAGAGAAATCAAAGAAGATACAAATAAATGAAAATACGTACCATGTTCATGGATAGGAAGAATTAATATAATTAAAATGTCAGTACTACCTAAGGCAATATATAGATTCAATGCAATTCCTATCAAACTACCAAGGACATTTTTCTCAGAAATAGAACATATAATCCTAAAATTTATATGGAATCATAAAATACCCCAAATAGCCACAGCAATGTTGAAAAATAAGAACAAAGTGGGAGGTATCACGCTACCGGACATCAAATCATACTGCAAGGCTACAGTAATCAAAACAGTATGGTGCTGGCATAAAAACAGACACATAGACCAATGGAACAGAATAGAGAGCCCAGAAATAAACCCATCCATATACAGTCATTTAATTTATGACAATGGAAGCAAGAATTTGCATGGAGATAGTCTATTTAATAAATGGTGCTGGGAAAATTGGACTGACACGTGCAAAAAAATGAAAATG